CTTCAATGCATGATTTACTCCCATCTGGAGACAGTTAGCAAAGTCTTTCTTCTGCCCCTCAGTTGCTTGAATCTCTTTTTCTAAGCTAGAAACTGGGGTCATCTTGCCGTGCTATGTTCAGCTCCTTTCCGATCCCATGTAGTTAGCATTCACTTTTCCAGTACAGCCTTCCCTCCCTGCTTCTTCAATAAATAGCCACTACGGTCCCTGCCTGCATAGGATATGGTGAGGAGGAGAAGTGATTATCACCTTACAATTCCAACACTGAGAAGGTTGAAGTAGCAGGGTTGATGTAAATTTAAGGCGAGTCTGAGGTACATAAATGAGTTCCAGGATTGACTGGGCTACAATATGTCAAAAGAAAAACAAACAAAAAAGAGAAATTATCTCTGTCCTCCCTGTCAGGCGAGGGTGCAGCCAGAAGGTGGTGTCCCTTCATCCGCAGGAGCATCCTCGGTAGCCAGCATGTTTGCTGGCACCTTGTCAGGAATCGCTAGGATCCCTGTTGTTCAAGTCACTCCGTCCCCAGTAGTTCGTTACAGAAGTCTAAGCTGACTGAGGCAGGCGCCATTTCTTGGAAGGGGGTTTTAGGGCCGATTTATCAATACATGCCTTGTACAGAGGACAGAGGACACATCAAGCTGCATATTTACAGTGTACTGCCAGCCCTTTGTGTCCAAGGCTCATCCGACCACAGGTTGGAAAGATTCGGAAACAACAGCATCTGCATTTAGTGTGTACAGCCATTGTCTCGTGGTCGTTCCCTAACAGGGGGCCCAGCGGACCACCTGTTTCCGCACCCACAGTCTCAGGTGTTCTAAGTAGCTAGCGGCCATTTAAAGTACCCTGCGAATACACGGGCTTATATGCGGGTACTAGTTCCTTTAAACAGCGAACTTGAGCAGGCATAGATCTGAGTATTTGGATTCCCCAAGAATATCAAGGGACAACTCTAATACACATCCTACAGCACAGACAGGTGCCATGGCTGGAGAGTTTCATATCAGGTTTCTTCAGGATAAATGAGACATCAAAGAGGCAGCAAACAGATGGAGATGGTGTTCTGGGCTGGGCTGTTACTGTGGTGGCAGCCAGAACACAGCAATGATGTGTCACGGTGGTAGAGGAGGGGGGTCTGTCAGACAGACCATCGCCAAGCACAGCGCTCATCAGCAGCACCCCTGCACAGAGCGGTGGGAAAGAATGAACACCATAAAGGGCAGATGAACCGCATGCCCCGATGTTCACAGTGCTGCTGGCTTTGTCCCAAACGCCTGTTCTAAGTTGATGAGTGTGGTCTGGCAAAAGAAGGTTCCGATGAAAAAGCAAACCAATTTGTCAGAACAAGGTACAAGTAGAAAATAGCAGGTTACAAAACTGAATGACTAAAATGTGGGTTCTAATTAGAAAAAAAAAAAAAAAAAAAAAAAGCACTTCCTTAGAAAGAAAGGGATCTAGTGTGGCAATTTCCAAAGAAAATGTGACTGGGGAGCTCAAGCCCCTTGTTTTGTCATCTTAGGTTTCCATGAGTGTATATCTTACATGATGCTCATGGAGAACACCTGTAGACACAGCTTTCCTGGGAGGTCATGGAATCTCAGCAGAAGGTAGCAACTGGACTCTGCTTGCAGTCTAGAAGGAAGCCGGAACCAGAGGCCAGTGGTTCTTAGTCTTCCTGATGCTGGAGCCCTTTAATACACTTTCTCAGATTGTGGTGACCCCCAAACGTAAAATTATTTTCTTGCTACTTCATAACTGTAATTTTGCTACTGCTGTGGATTGTAATGTAGATAATCTGACATGTGACCCCCCCGAAAGGGATTGAGACCCGAAGCTTGAGAACCACAGCCACAGAAGGAACTAGAAATGATGGAAGGCTGAGTCCTTACAGAAGGATTTTTGCCAACCTGAGAGCTACACTGAGAGGTAAGAAAGAGAATGAAGATCGGGTGAAGATGAAGCAGGGGCCAGGGGCTAACAGGCTGCCACCAAAAGGCAGGTGTGAGGCATGTTTAGGCAAGCCCTACCTGGCTGGGCAGCCATGAGAAAGCAGTTTGTTTGGGCCTTGGGATCCTTGTCTGTGAAGAGGAGGCCCCCAGGAGGTGATCTCTAAGGTGACTTCTCGCCCCAGCACTGGTGGATCTGAATGCATAATTTATTTCAACACACGTCCTTGGAGGACCTTGGCTCTGTCTGGCGCACTGTGGGTCAGCAGTTCTAAACATCCTCTCTGGCGAAGCTCCCATCAATCAAAACAATTGAATAGCTGTTACTAAATGTCGAGCGATGCACGCTTTCCGGAAAGGAAATGTGTAGAAGTGGTCCTAGCATGTGAGCAAGAGCAAAGAGAGCAAGCTTGCCTCTTCCAGTGCCCAGCTAGCTGGCACTGCAGAGAAAGGGATTCTGCGGGGTAGTAACGTAAAGGAAATGGACCCATACCTCAGACGGGAGCTGTGCGGGTGCTGAGAAAGGACTGATGCTCGTGGGATCACTGTTGAGAGGGGAGTTCCCATCTTACCCCACCCCATCTCAGGTACCACTGTTTGTTCACAAAGCTAGATGTCAGCCTCTTGGTAGGAAATGAGAAAACTCACACACACAGCCGGTGGGCAGGAAGCTGGAGGAAGAGCAGAAGGGCAACCACAAAGCATGTCCTGAGATGAGTCACTGTAACCATTTCAAAGCCACCACAAAGTCCAGTACCTCTCATGGGCTCAGACTTTGTCCTGACAGAAATGTAGCCAGTGAGCTTGAAGTCACATCTGACAATCTGCGGACAACGTGCCAGACGGAGAGGCCTGAGCAAGCCTGAAGAAGCGGACCGACATGGCAGTTTGCGCCTCACCTGCTAGACAGAGTCCTTAGGCCTCCTTCAGGATAGACTGAAGACTCTGACTTTAAATTCTCTTTTTCTTTGTTTATGCCATTGTTCTCCATGACAGCCAGAGCTTGGATTCTCAGATTACAGTTTCATTAATAAGATGCTATGGACTCAGGGGTGGGAGTGGGAGGTTAGAAACCTGGCTACAATTCTGAGTCAACAGAGAAGTTGCCCCTCCACAGGATGAGGGTGGTGTTGCTAGCATACACTGACCTAGGAACAAACCGGCGCGTACTCCTGCGAGGGGTGTGTGCAATCAGCTGGAGAAAGCACAGAAGGGAGAAAGAACCCAGGAGAGAGGAGAGCACTCCTCCCCAGGACGGAAGCACAGCAAGATTCTGGGGTGATGACAGGAAAGCACGTAGCAGCCACGGAAGCCACCAATTCTCACAGGATGGCCAGGCAAGGGCCTCCAGCAGGGCTGTCTCAGAAAAGAAGGAAGGACTGTCTTCATATGGGCCGGGACTCAAGTCACAGTGCTGTTCAGGGGGTGCTGTGCTGACTACTTGGTGAAAACAAAACCAATTCTATCATTATCTCCAAGGATGCTAGGGCTCACGGGAGCTGGTTCTTACCAAAACCAGTGTTGGCGCTGGTCCCTGCACTGCAAAGGCAGTGGTCCTCTCAGAACCCTTCAGCCTCTGTGAATCGAACTCATGCTGAACTATAGTTACATATTCACTATGAAGCAGTGCTGTGAACCATTTGGAGAAAGGATAGAGAGAGAAAGAATGAGAACGTGGGAGCTGCTCCATCCAGACCTGCGAATTCAAGCTAACAGAAGGACTGTGTTGAGAAGGGTCCCAGATTTAAGCCTCCACAGTGGTGTGCGCCCAGAGTCATCCTGCTCTCGAGGCTGAAACAGAAGGGGCCTGGTGGGAACTCCCTGGGCTAATGGGGACCCTGTCCTAGGAGACAGGGCTTAGGAAAGCAGACTGCTGTACGTGCTAGCGGGACTCTCATCTCACTCCCAGCTCTCCTGTGTCGAGGTGTGTTCTCTCTCTCCCTCATTCATTCACACCACTGCAACACCAGCCAGGGCCAGAGCCTCACCAGAGCTGAGCAGGAGGAGACCCCGGCTCTTCAAAACTCTAAGCCAGAGTAAACCTCAAGCCTTCCTAAGCCTATCCCACCCACCCCAGAAGTTTTACTACAGTAACCAAAAATGAACTAATACATTTTATTTTATTCTTAGCAAATGTTTAACAAGACTATGAAAAGCAAAAGTAAAGTTAACAAACCATTGTTGTGTGTTGGTTTTCGGGACAGGGTCTCTGTGGCCCTGGCTTTCCTGGAACTCACTCTGAAGCCCAGGTTGGTCTCGAATTCAGAGATCCACCCGCCTCTGCCTTCAGAGGGTTTGGATTAAAGGTGTGTGCCACCAGGCCCAGCAACAGAAATCTTTTCAATTAAAAAAGGGAAAGTAAGAGATGACAAAAATGAAGAAAATAATCAACAGCAGACTTGAGTCCAGAAATGGGCCCTACAACCTTCTGCTTATTCTCTCATTTCTCCCATGCCTACCTGGGGCCCATGGAAGTGAAAAGAGGGCAATGGATGTACTGGAACTGGTTTTACAGATGGTTCTGAAACAACTGTGGATGCTGGGGACCAAACCTGGCTCCTGGGCAAAAGAAACAAGCACCCTTAACCCCTGAGCCATCCCTCTGAAAGGACCACCTAAGGGCTGAAATTCAAGGCTGCTTGTAGTGTTTGTGTCTTCACATTCAGAGAACCCTTACCCCTTTTTCTCAGGGACCAACCCCGCCTTCCCATGGGATGCTGCCTCACCGGGACACACAGGGACACTTCACACAGGCTTCCCAGGGGAGAGTGGGCCTCCTTAATCACAAGAATAAGAGACCCTGTCCCTGAGGAGGACCCGGCCCTTACGGCTAGGTTGCTTTGAAAGGTCCGGGAATCAGGCTTAGACTACAAGAGAGACTTTAAACTACAAGGTGGCAAGGGGTGTTAAGTGTTTAAAACTTACTGAACTCTGGAAATCAGGCAGTGCCCCTCTATCCAAACGGTAAGCCATCTGGGCATCATTGGCAGGCTCAAAGCTCTTGCCCGCCCTCCCATCTGAAAAACAGTGCACTGAAAGGAGTTCCTGAACCCTGTGTCGCTGGAGGCCACAAGTGCCTGACTGACAGGATGACCTGAGTCACAGTTTCCTTATCGCGGGTTTCAGCCTGTAATAGCTCTCTCCTGCGCACGCACTGCACAACTCACGCATTTGTTCTTCTATGTTTTCTAGGGTGTTTCTCACGCTTGTCAGCTCTTCTTGCTTTTTGTTTCCAGTACTGTCCAGTCTTCTGTTCAATTTCTAGGGCGCCGTCTAAGCGCATCCCTGAGCCAGAGAATGGAGTTTCCCTGCACGTCTTCCCACAAGGAGTTTTACTTCATCCGTCCAACATGCGGGGGGCACAGGAAATCGCCCCGAGGTGTCCACCGGGTTCTTGTTGTTGTCGTCAGTCTCAAAGATTGCTTTTGGCACAGATAACTACTCAGACCTACTTTGACTTTTCTTTTAATTTTATGTTACAAATTGAATTAACGTATTATCTCATTTACAAATTAGCCTTATAAAATTCATTCAGGTACCTTATTAAATCATGTTTACATATTTAACACATTTTATTTCTCTTACGTCAATTGTCTAAAATCTTAAAGCTCTAGCAAATTGAACTTTAAAATATGGAAATTTTAAATTCTCTCAAGTATTCCAGTACTGATTATAATTTTAGAATGTCTTTTAATTTAAAAGTAGAAAACTAAATCAATGTCTTAATTACATATTTGAAATTGGTGTCAAAAGGATGATCACATTACTCTAATGGGCCAATTTTCCTTAAATATTACAAATACTTGAAACACTAAATGTATACAAATTAACAAAAATATGGGTTTGACTGTCTCAGATGTTTCTGTTTACTCTGAAATCTTTGCCTGGTGACAGGCTGCATCCTCCCTGAGGGCATAGTCGTATCATCTTATAGCGCGTTTTTGGGTCACCTTCCCTGGCGACTTTGAGCTCTATCGCAGTTAGACAGGGTTTCACAATGGCAACCCTTACCTCTGTCCACTGTCAGGCCATGCCCACCTCAGAGAAGGCTCATCTATTAGCCTTCCTCAGCCTCCTGGCCACCAGGAGGCATGTTTCTGAGGTGACTGGCCACAGTCCATAGATTCATCAGGCTCCTCAGATTTATTCATTTTCCGCCCATCTTAACACTTGTTCAGTTCTCATAAATGTGATGTTATTTCTGCTTGGAAGGGAGCAGTTGTGGGTTTGTTTTTTTCATTCATCTAATCAGCATGGCAAGTCTTACTGATGCTTTAATGCTGCCCTGGAATTCTTCCCTGCTGGGTCGAACTTGTTTTTGTTTGTACTTTTCCAAATTCATGCTGCATCACTTGGTGGATAAAAAAAAAAAAAAAAAAAAAAAGACAAGAAGTTAAAAGCTTTCTTAGAACACTCTCCTTTAGGGCATCACGAGACGAAGCAGAGATTGTACTGTTACCCCTCTACTCCTAGCTCCAAGACTGCAGGATTGTAAACTCCACAGGGCTCACCAGGGTCCAGGCATGTCAGGGGGCAGTTCACTGTACCGAGAATGGCTTTGCTCACTCTATCTCACAGGTATATGGTTTGAGAGTGAAACAAATAATTTAACAAAATGGAAAAGCCTTCCTCCTCCAGCGGAAAGCAGTTGTCAAGCAAGGAAATATCCGTAGGCCGACAGGTACGCCCGTTCAAATTTCTGCCACAAAGTAAACATCAGTTCTCTCATCTATGACATCAGTGACATGGACATGGGACCAGACGCCAAGGCCATGTCCATGGTTAAGTTTAAAGACACATGAAACAATGTCTTGTCTTTAGAGGGCCCTGGGCCTCGGACACACACCTCATTTTCCTCCTGCCTGGTCCATTTTAGGTTCTTTGCAGCACCTTTGCTCCACACTCTCTGAACACTTCACTCAAGGGTGGACTTTGGATGTCTGTCTCTATTTGTTCACATGTTAATGTTATTCGTGCACCCCAATGATTCTCACATCCATATGCTCAGCTCAGAACTCTCCTCTGAACTCTGAACTTCACCTGCCTGCACATTATCTCAGCTTAAGGACAGGTTGGTCCCTTAATCTGTATACTCAAAGCCAGCTCTGCCTGGTCTTTCTGCATTTAGCTACACACAACTCCATTTTCCCAGTAGTCTGGATCCGAGGATTGGGTCATTCATGCTCACGTCTTTCACACCTCCTGTCTATCCACTCTTCAATAGTTCAAGTTCTGTCATCCAGAGAGATCCTGAGTCCCATTGCTTTGCAGCATCAAACACCAAACAAGCGCAGGCAGGGGACAATCAACCTATTTCCTGCTGTGTTTCCTAAGTGGAATGCTTCCAGCTGCCCTCCGCTGGATTTCAACAGAGCGAATGCAGTGACCGTGTCAAAAGATGGGTCCGCACCTATTATTTCTCTCCTCAAAATCCTCTAGTCTCTATCCATCCCATTACAGGGAAATGCTATTCATTGTCACCTACTAAATATGGGGATCATCAGAGTATTTGCTTCATAAGGGTGTTGTGAAGATTATAAGCGTCACTATGTATAAAGCACTCACTTAGAATAAATTCTCATGGATGGGTAGACTCATTAAAAATCTAAGCTATCTGAGGGGCAGAAGATCCCACAAACCTTGAAGAATGCTTCAGATGTGGTCACTTCATAGCTTCTCTCTGTTATTGCTGACCACATCTAGAAGGATTCCTAAAAAGCCACTTGGCCATAAATTTCACTTTCCACTCTTCTGTCTAATGTCAAAGATAATCCATCGGTGGGGAGAAAAATAAAGCTATACAAACTACCTCTCATAATTTAATAACTACCTTTCATATTTCAGTTGCCCCTTCTCTGATTAATATTAACCATTTAGGCTCTAGGATGAAGGAACCCTGGTAATTTACACAGTGTTCACTTTGAAACACATGAGAAATGTGAAATGTAGCTCAGCAGTAGAAAAATTAACATGCCCTAGGTCCAATTCCCAGTACCCTCCTCCTTCAAAGTCACGGGACACAACACACACACACACACACACACACACACACACACACACACACACTTCAATTCTTTCCATGAATTCTTATCATTCTTAAGAAAAGTAGCCAAACTCTCTACCAAGTTTCCAATGTTCAATATCACAAGTGCCCTGGCTGTACCTGCCTCTCCACCCTGGCCCCACGCTATCCCATGTGCCATCTCACTCTGCACGCTATGGTCTGCTTGTGTTTTCCAAGTGGGGCTGCTCCTCTCTGCTACAGGCTTTGGTATGTGCTGTTCGGTCTTCTGAGGAGCATCTCCCTCCATCTCCCACCAAAACAATCATCTCCTCCAGCTCTAGGTCCCAGATTCCACCAGGCATGGCACGTTCTCACGGCATCAGTGCCTCCCCCTGGCCTCTGTGCATCTGTTCATTATCCCGTATCAGATTTACTTGTGCAGATGGCTCACCTTCACTGGATGTCTCAGAACTCCAGTCTTCACGAATGTGGGGCCCATTTCTGGATTTTCCCATGGCTGTATACCCAGAGCCGAGCACAGTGCTTGGAACTTGGGGTGGGGAGGGGGGTATGTAACTGTTACAGCTCGGAAGGAAAAGGTATCCCTGCAGTCAGGAGCCAACGAACACCACAGAGTCACACCTGCAACAAACCACACACAAGACGTTCACTGGGAGAAACACAGGTGGTTGGCTGCCCCTTCTCGGGAGAGAAGCTGCAAAGAACTGAGCAGGAGGAAGGCTTTATACAGGGTTTCTGGGGGATAGGGTTTTCCAGGGTGGGGCTTTCCAGGGTGGCCATTGGTGGCATTTCCAGTCTTGAGCCTGGGGTGAGCTCAGGGATTAGTAGGAGTTCAAGCTCGGGGACTGATGGGATTTCAAGTCCTGAGCTGAGATTTTTCACTCTGTAGGGCGGAGTGTGTTTGCCCGTGTCTCGAGGAGCTGGTCCAGCCATTATGGCCTGGCCATTAGAGTGTTCTGTGGGCAGAGCCTGGAGGTTGGAGGTGCTCAGGAACAAGGCTTGGCCACTCAACTGCCTGGAGGAGGTTACAGTATTCATTCATTCAATTAACTTGTAATAACACCTTTGGTAAGCCAAGCCTAGTTCTGCGAAGTGAGAACACAGCAGTAAACAAGCCAAACTTCACACCCCCCTGCTGTTCCTGTTCTAGTTTTAGAGTCAAGACAATTCCATGGACAGCTGTGTGGGGAAAGAAAGGGGTCAGTGAGGAAATTGGACTTGACCATGGCAGACAGGGTAGTGGTAAATGGACTACTTTAAAAGTGACACTGTTCAGAAAAACTGCCACACAAAACACGAGGACACTTGATCAACACAGACTCAGCTAAGCCAGGCTGCCTGCTTTTTGTCACGTACAAAAATAAAAAGGTTTTCCCAGAAATCTCTCTCTCTCTCTCTTTGTTTGCTTTTTTTATAAATATTTTAAAAGTTCATAGTTTGTAATGATGAGACTCTTCCCAGGAATCCACACCACTCAGCTCAGGACTAGTCCCAGTCACACCCAGGCTCTTTCCTGCTACCTCCTGCTGACTCTTGGAGGCCCTTATTTGCATTTCCTATGGGATGGAATCCACCCAGCAGGAAAACCTCATCTCCTCCCTTCCTTTGGTTCACACTCTGAGCCTGGAACTTTTCCCTCCAATGTCTCTTGGCAGTCCCTTGCAAACCCTCCTGTGCTCACAGGGAGATGGGCCTGCAGTGTACAAAAGACTTATAGGACCCCTGCCCAGTGACACCCCTGTTGCTCTGGGCACAGGCTGGGGCAGATTCTGCTGATCTGGCATGGCACCCATTCCCATCACTCCCCACTGCTGCCATCTAAGCTCTGTCTCCATTTAGTAGGTTTAGGAACAGCTCACTGGATAGCCTAACTTTTTGTTTGTTTGTTTCACCTCACTCCCAAACCTCTGTTAAAAGCTCTTTTTCCCCTTCCCTCTTACTCTTTCTCCCTCACCTCGCCTCCATCTTTACCTCAAATCACCTCAGCGTCTGAGGACAGGCCCTCACACGGGTACACTTGCTGACTGGCCAAGAACTCTCTATGTAGACCAGACCAGCTTAGAGTTTATGAGATCCACCAGCCTTCTGTGTGCTGAGATTAAAGGCACAGCCATCAAGTCTAACCTTTGTTTCCGACCCTCAGACCTGACTGCCCTGACTGGTAGGAAATGGAGGTTTGCTTGAGATTTTATTTGAGAAGACAAAAAGAAAAAAATAAAAAGGCTTGAAATTCCTCTAACCAATATCTGTATTTGAAAGAGAGCTGGGAGATTATTTTGTTTGTTTTTCCAAAGGGGTTTCTTAGGTTAGAGCTGGGGATGGTAAAGGGCTTTCCTCTACAGCACCAAGAGGAAAACACCACATGAGCCTCAAGTGGAACACTAGTCTGCATAGCAAGGAGATTTCAGAGTGCATGCAGAGCAGGAGCCAACTCCTAAAGGTGCTGGAGACAGTGAGGGGGGCTGAGTTAGAGAACACGGCGAGGCAGAAAGTTTGTGGAAAGCAAAGATGCAACAAGAACACTCACTTAAATTCAAGCAGTCATGTCCTCACCTAAGTAAACCGAGAAAGGTTTTCTCTGTCTTCCTCAATCTTCTCTAACCCAGGACCACCACCCAGGGGTGCCCCCACCCACAACGAGTGGTGCTATTAGCCAATCATGAATCAAGAAAATGCTCCCAGAGGTTTCTCTACAAACAGTCTGCTGGATATTTCCCCCACTGAAATAATGCCCTCTTCCTGATGACCCTGACTTATATCAAGTTGACAAACAAACAAACATCTCTCCAGCACCAGCTCTTCCAAATCTCCAGATCTTTGGTTGACCTGAGATTTATCTGAGCAGTTTCCCATTTTCTCCTTAAGACTAAGTAGCAGAATTCTGTCTCTGTAGCAATGGGTATCTCAATCTGTCTTCTTTTGCAGACCATTTATATGTCATATGAGGACAGGGATGCTTTCTGATAAGGTCCCAAGGGTTTTGGTTTAACCAGTGTAGCATAAGCATTTGTGAATGAGCTTCATGGTTTGGGTTTACCATGGAGACTGTGTTGGCTGTGGCCAGAACTCTGACTCCAGTGAAAACAAATGACAGCACATCTCACTCTGAAAAAGAAAGAGATAAAGAAAGAAAGAAAGAAAGAAAGAAAGAAAGAAAGAAAGAAGGAAGGAAGGAAGGAAGGAAGGAAGGAAGGAAGGAAGGAAGGAAGGAAAGAAAGAAAGAAAGAAAGAAAGAAAGAAAGAAAGAAAGAAAGAAAGAAAGAAAGAAAGAAAGAATACCACTCCTTTAAGCCACAAAGGGTATAACATTTTGGGGGAAATTTTGGCTCTCTAGTAGGTACACACAGAAGATGGTCACTTAGAACCTCAGGCACCTCACTCTGTAGCTGGGTTTGTGAGACAAGGAAAAGAGCAAACGCAAGCCAAGCAAGTTTGAGGAGTAAAAGCCCCAGGCTTACTTGATCTGACTCTCAGCCCACTCTTAGTCATGTTCCCAGAGGCTCAGAGTTATAGAAAATAGCTCATCAAAACCTGGTCTTTCTTTTAAGAACCAGTTTTCTAATAAACAAAACAAACAAATCCTGCTAGGTTCATGTAAAGCACTTACCAGTGCCCAGAATGGGGTCTACTTGAAGGATAATCTTAAACTCAAAGGAGGAAATTGTAAAGTTAATAAATGCATACACACAATTTTTAAAAAGGGTAGTCTTCCTCAAAACAGTAATTTAAAAAGTAATTGCAATTATCTCCAAATCAAAATTCCTATTCTACCTATTCCATCAAGATCCTTTACATGCCTTTCTCCCTCAGAAATAGGGTTGCACCCCTGCAGCCTACCACTTAGGGCAAAGAACCAACGGCACCTGCTGGGACTCCAGCGTTAGTGCAGGAAAGCAAGCCCAGGCTCTCCCCTTTCCCTGTAGCCCTCTTTTTTGGACACATAGTTGATAGAAAAAAAGAAAGAAAGGAAGAAAGAAAGGAAGGAAGGAAGGAAGGAAGGAAGGAAGGAAGGAAGGAAGGAAGGAAGGAAGGAAAGAAGGAAGGAAGGAAAGAAGGAGCGAGCACACAGCCATGCTGTGGTCTTAAAGCACATGCCTTTGCACCTGCAGCAGCTTCCAGGCAAGTTTACAGCTCTACCTGCCTCTGTGCCTCTTGGCACATATGCCAGATCAGACTGAATCACATCAGAAAACCTACTTACCCCTCTGGAAACCCAGAAGAGTCATAAGTGTTCTGTGGCTGTGAAGGGAGGCTTGCTCTCCTTTCTGGACTCATAAATTTCTACCCGTTTGGAAGTTTTCTATCCTAATGCAGCTCCTCTCAGATTCCCAAGGGAAAGTTTCTTCTCCTGTCAAGGCCCCATCATGCTGCACAAGGTTTGGCACTCTAGCTCTTCCTATGCTCTCTCTCATTTTAAGGTTCAGTCATGGCCGGAAATGATCCCGAGGCTCTCTTCTAATAACCCTCATTCTGAATTATGACATGAGTCTTTCATCTTAGTAAATAGTAGTGCATAGGTCTAAATTACATGACTTTATTTTAAAATTTGCACATGTTCATTCTATCAAATAATTAGTTTCATTATGACACTTTATGCACATATAAGTTGTTCTTTTATTATGAAGTTTTTATAGCATGGTTAACCAAAAAAGTCATAATGACTTAGGGTTGCCTATTCAAAATTATTTACAACATTGTCAATCTAAGGTTTCAAAAGCTTATCTAAGAGCTTATAAATAAATCTAAAGAAAAGCTACAAATTCTTTATATTTTATGTATATGTAAATGTATATATAGTATGTTATTTCTACATGTATGTTTATGTCAATACAAGTGTTTGTGCATTATCTAATAATACCAATTTGACTTAGAGAAAAATAAATAGAAATTATCACTCTAAATAAAATCAATTTTCAAAGCTTATATGACTCAAAGTCATGTTATACCAACCAAGTAATTTTCCTTTTTCAGATGTTTATTTATTTAGTTTACGTGAATAAGTGCTTTGTCTCCATATATGTCTGTGTGCCAGTTGTGCAGTGTTCATGGAGGTCAGGAGAGGGTGTTTAATCCCCTGGAACTGAAGTTATGATTGACTGTAAGCCACCTTGTAGATGCTGGGAACGGAATCCTAGTTCCCTGAAAAAGGGAGCAAGTGCTCTTCACCAGCCAGCCATCTCTCTAGTTCCCAACTAAGTAATTGTCACTAGATGTCCATGTCATCTCTAAATAAGTTAAAGTACTAAAATGTCATAAATTAAATGTAAGTTTAAAAATTGTAGACTGTAACATTTTGTTTTATGTGATTAAAAAGGTAGTATGAAGACTGTGTCCACAATTTTAGTGAAAAAATGTATTTTTTTTTTTACTGGTCTACAGAGTGCTGATTCATAATGGCTGAGTATTAATACACATTACCTAAACACTGAAAGGAACACAGCCTAGCTGAGGGTATCACTCAGTGACAGAGTACTTGCCTCTCATTCAGGATGCCCTGGATTTAATCTCCAACACCAAATAATAATGATAATAATAAATGGAGAGATATAAGAGGAAAATGAAATATAGTTCATAAGAAAGTTATAAGTATGGAACATACATAAGGATGGAAAGTTAAAAGAATGTAATTTTGGTAAAGAACAAAGTATAATTTTTATTTAAGAGAAAATGATAAGGAAATAATTTTTATTGAGCTCAAAACGATAAAGAGAAAGCTATAGGACAAAAATCAATGGTTTAAGCAAACCATAAAGGGCCTGAAAAAGCTGGAAAGGTTCATAGAAGGAGAATCTTAGGAAAGCAATTTTATGCCTGATCAAGTTGATTAAAATTGAAAGGAATTTTATAGATTAAACTTTTATATCAAAGTCACACTAATGTAAAACCAAAATATAATCCTCCGTGCTAAAATAAGGTTATCTAGAGTATTGATTTTCTCTTAGAAAGCAGAAATAATTCTTTTGTTTTGTTTTGTTCTCTTTCTTCATTTTTAGGTAAATAACCTAGGAAACGAAGATTCAGGATTTTTAAGATAACTTTTTGTTCTTTGTGTTATTTTTAATAAGTTCTGACTTATGGAAAGTGAGACGTCTAAATCTTAAAACTAAGTTTTCATTAAAATGGTGCAACCTTCAGTTGCCTTTGTAAACCTTTATTTCACAGGCTAAAGATCTTTGTGTTTTTAACAAATTTCCAAAATCAAATTCAGAAATTCTTTTTTATCTGGAAGTAAATTTGAGGCTTCCAGAGAGCTGGCTGGTATCCAAAGGCATACAATAGACTTATATTTATATAAATGTGTAATTAAAATGTATACAAAACTGAGATTCCTAGAATATGCTAGTCATACTTCTTATTACATAGTTACTGTCTGCTACAAAGTAGCCAAATTTGTCAGGTGTTGTCTGAGATCAGGTCTTCAGCCCTGGCTACTCTAAGCCCTGTCCACAATGAGACTCTTTTCATTCTGATTCCTTTCCAGAAGCTTCTTGCAAGCAAAGACAATCCCACAATGATTACTGTATTTCCAAGTAGTTTCGTGGAGACGATAGTTTCGTGGAGTTAATGTTTTCAGGTTGATGGAATCTAGGCTCATTTAGGACTCAGGCTTCTGGACATCCCTGTGAGGAGCAGTTATCTAGATTGGGTTAGTGAAGGTGGAAGGACCCATCCTAAACTATGGGCAGTACCATCCCTGGGCTGGGGCCCTGGGCTGCATGGAAAGGATGAACACACCAGTGTTCACCTCTCTCTGTCTCCTAGATATGGATGCACTGTAGCCAGCCACCTCAAGCTCCTGCCGCCATGACAGGCAACAGCCAGGAACTCTGGCACAGAAGGAACCTTTCTCCCGTAGGTTGTTCTGGTCAGGCTGTTTTATCACAGCAACAAAACAAGCGACAGTATGCATGGGAAGGACTCCCACAAAGGCAGGCTTTTAGTAACCTTGAGATCACAGCATTGGACTCACAAAGCTCCAGCACCCAAGTGGGGGAACTTGGGGGTTTAGAAAATCCAACCTGGGCCCTTGTACATGTGAAGAAAATATTCTACTACTGAGCTGTGCCCACAGTTCCTAAAATATAATATTTATGTGGTTGTCTTCATATCATGAACACGCCATGTCAGAAACATAGACGATCACATCTGTGTCTTCCCATGGTGTCTGAAGAGATTAAATAACAATACATTCACAAACCATATGAGTTTTACTGGCAGCAGTTCTCCAAATCGTCCAAGTTTCCCTTAGTTGGCTATTGGCAAACACATGATTTTATTCCAGTACTAATCACTAATCTCAGAATAATCACTAATTCTCACAATATGTACTGCATATCACACAGTAAATATATCTCTGTATGTGTGTGTGAGGCTGCAGAGGAGCTAACGTTCAGAGAGGACTTTCTAGAGGCAGGGAGAAAGCTAACAGAGATGCAGAGAGGATTGGCGGGAGTTAGATAATGAGTACTGTTGAAAATCAGTTGAAAAAGAAAAGAGAGCATTCTCTGTGTGTGCTGCCTCGGGGCCACAGGCTTGAGCCAAGTCCAGGGACTGAGTTCTGGAAGTCAGGGGAGTACTGTGGAGTACTGTACAGAACCCAAACCCAAAGGGACAGAGCAATGAATGGAAACTCCAGGTGACCAAGCCATCAGTGAGGAAAAGCCGAGTAAATTAGCTCCTCAGTGTCAGTCCCTTAATGCACACGCACACGCCAGCCAGATGGCAGGGTGGAGCCGCTCTATCTCAGAGGCAGATGTCTGTCACCTTCCGTCTTTTCCCTCCACTCCCTCTCTGGAGTCTCACTATGTAGCCCTGGCTGACTTGTAGGGCAGGCTGGCTTCAACTCCCAGCCTCTGTCTACATCTGCCTCCTGATTACTAGAACAGAGGTCTGTGCCAGCGCATCCACCGTGGTAGACATGGCGGTGCGATCTGGTGTGTTTGATAAGTTCTTGGGCCTGGTCTTCTTCCCCCTCAGACTGCCCTCTTTCCTAACTCTGAGAAGAGGGAACACCGGTAAACAGGCCAGTAAACTTCGGGAAGCTGAGCGTTCCTGAGCAGGAGCGCTGACACACTGATAACATCTTCAGGACACCAGAATACAGGAAACTCCTGATAACAAGATCGACGTTCTTGGTGTTTACAACTTAGAGGTTGCAAGGAAAAAAAGATATGAATGTGGGATCTTCCACCACAAAAGTTCCCCTCTCTGCCCTGTACCCGGGCACACAGCCTCCTCTGCTTTGCGATGCCACTGCCCTTCGCTGCTCTGATGAAAGAACAATCTGCTTCTGCAGAGGCCCGTCTCCTCTTTTAACTTCACGTCACTTGGATCAATGGGGTGGCAAAAGGTAAACTGAGGAAAGCAATGCCAAGAGCCAGCACCATGTGAAGAGAGGACTTCACGTCCCCTCCTTGTGCTTTGGCACTCTACGTGTTCAGCAATACACTGTAGACCTGATCCCTGAAAGGACAGTCTTCCTATAAGGCAGCCCCGTGCTTCTGAAACCCCAGTGTACCTTGATAAGCCTATAAGGTACCACCCTTTTAATTTTAGGGATAAGTTATTTTTTAGTCTGTGCTTTGTGGTGCTGGATGGATGGTGGTATCTTATGTGCACACAGGTCAGAGTCAACTGTCATGCTGTTTGCACTGAAAATGGAGTCTCTCCAAGAACAGTTTCACATAGAATGGCACTTGGAGTGGGAAATGGCCTGGTCTCAGCTCTTGAAAAACAGGCATTTCAAGCTACCCTTTGGCTAACTGCCACTGCCTACGCTGCTTTTCTTTGGTTGTCATTGCCTGTTCTGTCTCCCCTTTTTTGAACTTCTTCTGTTTTGTGGATCCCAATATTTCAGAACTCTAGGAAAAATGAGAATTATGGTGGCCTAGCAATTGGACATGAGTCAGCCAAGTACATAAGAAGCAATACATAAGAAACAATCTTGAAAGACAAACAAGTAACACGCCTTAAAATTACTTATAAACCAGCTGTGGTGGCACATACTTGTGATACTAGCACTTGGGAGGCTGAGGCAGTAGAGTTCAGGACCAGCCTAAAGTACAGAGTAAGACCCTGACTCAAAAAAAAAAAATTAGCCATAAAACTGTATGCTGTTATATGTACATAAATGTGTAATATCCACAACAAATGTGCAAAAGAAATACGGAAAATATAAGTTTACAGGTTGATTACACAGATCAAAACTTGATTTTTTTTTTTAAAAAAAAAGGCTTCAAAATCTATGTTCTTTTGCAAAAGGAGCCCATGGAAATTCAAAATCCTCCCACAAATTCTAAAGGACCAGGATGGTGTTGCCATGCAAAACACATTCTCACTTTTCAGCTTCTGAGAATTATCATTTTGTGTCCCTAATGAACCATTCTGCCTCTGCCTCTATCTCAGGCTTAAAAGTCATCTTATAGTAAGGACAAACTAGGTTTGTTCCTGTTTGTGATTAAATCTGTATCTCAAGAGTTGGGCTACGCCCCACCTGTACTGCCTATTCCAGGAATGGCAACCTCACTTTTATTTCAAAAAGTTGTTATGACCATCTTGCAACCCTATCTTTGTTTTAAATGATTATCATAACCACCTACTTTTATGACTACCTCGTTAAGACCACCTGTTCTGCTTCTATAACCTCATCCATTTGCCTACAAATTTCCCATTTGGACTCCCAACCCCTGAGCTATAAAAACCCCTATCTTGCCCAGGTCCAGTTCTGGCCTCTTGAAACCCCACCTTAGGGGAAGACAGCCCATGAACACGAATAAAAAAGTGTGCTTTAATTAATTTGGCCAGGATGATTTGGGTTGGTGGTCTTCTGCAAATCTTTGGCATTAGCACCCTTAGTCATTAGACTCCTTTAAGAGTCTATTGATTTCACAGAGCAATAGGAGAATCTGTATTAGCCCTTATGTATTTAGGAAATTATAGAATCATAAAATTTAAAGAATGAAGGTTTAAAGTCCAGAGTTTGGTATCTGGTTTTTAATTTTTAAAATTTTACAAAGGGGGAGGGGGTTCCTGGTGGTTGTTTTATATTAGGCATTGTGAACTAGCATTCTAGACAGGGAGTTACTTTTAACAAATCCTACAACTGGTCAATAAAAAGTCTTCAAAGAGGATATATGGGGTTCCTTGTAATTCATAGCCCTTCATCAATTCCAGCTGTTTAGAACCAGTTATGGTGGACCATCACCTTTACTTTTAACATCTCTGAGGTAACTTCCCCTTTAAGGGAAAAAAAAAACAAACCCATCCATCCTTCACCCTCTTACCCATTCAGTAAAAAGCAGGTGCTGGTTGCCAGGAGCCGGAGGTGGAAGTTGGCAGCAGTCCCTGGACCATGGAGAAGGAGCCTAGCACTGTGATCTTGTCACAGAACCCTTTATGTCGTTTGATCTGGAAATTCCAGCTAAGCTAACCATGAACCAAGTGGCCAAATATTCACCTGTAAAGACACTAAGGGAATATCATTTAGACAAAATTTACAATGTACAACAATAGCAGAACTATTGAAAACATAACAAAAAGTGAAGCACAAGGTTTGTCAGTGTGGGTGCTGCATAGTGTCCTCAATTACGGTAAATTAATTTATTAAATACCCAGAATAGAATATTCCAGAAATAGTAGCGTCATGTTGTGTGTTACTGTGGAGTTTATGAATTCTTTTCTTTCTGATCTGGATATTTTACTTTATTCTTTTATAAGATATGTACTAACCTTCCTTCTTTCCCAAAACAATAATACAAACCAGAAGAAACCCAGCCTGCATAAGAAGCAAAACTGAGAGGCATTCTACAAATAGTTTAGTTCAGTGTACATGGTCAGGATTCTGTACCCAGAACTCTGCCTAAAGCAGAATTTCCACTGTCTTCATTTGTGAGCTGTTTGTTTGTTTGTTTGGTTGGTTGGTTGGGGTTTTTGGTTTTTGAGACAGGGTTTCTCTGGATCACCCTGGCTGTCCTGGAATTTACTCTGTAGAGTGCTGGCTGGCCTCAAACTCAGAGATCCACCTGCCTCTGCCTACCAAGTGCTGGGATTAAAGGCCTGTATCACCACTGCCCAAAGTTCATTGTTTCTTGTTTCTACTGGCTTTGTACAAATTGCGCTCTCCATGGCTTCCCCAAGATGAGCAAACAGGAGCAAAGCAGGCTTCTCTGAAGTAGGCAGTGGCTGACATTTCCCCATCCAGGTATCCTAGACAAGGAAAAGCGGGCTGCCTTGTTTCCACTGCCGCGGAGGCTACGGAAATGCCATTGCAGACAGCGCGTCAATGAGCCCCAAGACAGGTCCAGCGTCCATAGTGCGATGCTCAGCCCCCGAGGCTGTCCTGTTGGCGTTGCTGGCCCAGGGATTGCCTGCAGGCCCCAGAGCCGAAAGTCGGTCTCCCCCACCACACCCAAAGACCTACCCAGTCCCCAGAAAGGCTGGCACTACAGAAAGAGGGGGATGACTTGGGGTGACTTCACATCTATTAATTAGAATCCCCGCTCTCTATCAGCCCAGGGGAAGCACGCCTAGGCTGGCCTTGAACTGTCTGTGTAGCTAAGAACGACCCTGAGCTTCTGGTCTCCTGACTCGGGCTTGCACCCCGCCCCCCTTCTCTGTCACTTGGCTTTCCAGTGAAACCTGAGATCGGGACGCGAAGCCAAAACAGGTTACGTTAGTGTCGAGGGCTCCGTCCTGCGCATGAAAGTTCTCTTTGCTGTCAACTGATAAAACATTCAACATCCGTCAGTCCTGAGCGCGCCTCGCTGTCGGTGAATGAAGGGCGCCGCTTCTTCTTACATCGCTGAGTCGCTTAGAGGCCAAGAGATTTTTTAAAAGCAACAAAACCCTACAGTAATTCTGAAGTGTCTTCTCTTAGATAAGAGGCTATAAAGGAAAGGAGCCAGGGGCCAGCTCCGAGGCTTCTGCGGCTCCCCCGGAGGCCACGGAGAGGCTCGAGGGAAGCTCGGCCTACACAAACCCGTTACTGCTCTAGCCTGGCTGTCACCTGAGACCAAAGGTCACCTGGTCCCCGGGGCCAGCAGGGCGGGGGCTGCAGCCAGGCGTGGGTGAGGTCTCTCCGGGTGCGCCGCGGGCCGCTAGCCAGGCACCAGGTAGGGCTGACGCCGGGGTCCGCCCGGCCCAGCCTGGCCCTGCCTGCCACCAGGGCTCACGTAGCGCGAGCCTGAGTCAGCGCCGTCCCCCGGCGAAGCCTGCCAGCCTCCCGAGAGGGGAGCGCCCAGCCCCGCCCGCCTGCGGGCTCCGCGCCTAGAGGAGTCCCAGCCCCAGGACGGCAGTGGGCCCGGCTTCCCGGGACGAGGGGCGGGAGGAGGACGAGCCCGAGGGGGGTCCCTCCTCAGCCCGACCTTGACCTTCTCCCGGCCCCCGAAGTTTCCTTTGTACAGCACGCAGGCTGGCTTGGCCTGGCTCACAGACCCGGAGAAGGGACGAGGGAGGGGAGCTGTAGGGTCACGACCCAGACAGGGAGTTGAGCGGGCTAACCTCTGAAAGGGGGAGAGGGCGGGCAGCCCCGTATCAGCCGCATCTCTCTCCGCTGTGGGGAATGGTTTGTGTTTCCTGAAACTTGCACCTGTTTAGTTCTAACTACCAACTTTATAAAAGGAAATTGCCTACGTGCCTGAGTGCTGAAAGACAGAATTAGCAGTACTCTTCGCTGCTGAATGTGTGAACGCAGCAGGGCCTCCTGTAAAGGTCTGGACCTACAGGGTTGTAAGTCCGGGCCTCCCGAGGGCACAGAAGAATTCCAAACCTCCTTTACTCTTCAGTGAAGTATTTTCCACCAAGCCAGGGCACATTATAAGAAGGCTTTCTTCTACATACTACTGTGATGTGCAAAATGGCGCTTCTTTTTCTTTCTTTCTTTCTTTCTTTCTTTCTTTCTTTCTTTCTTTCTTTCTTTGTGTATGTGTTTGTATTGTTTAATTTGTTTGGTTTTTAAAGACAGGGCCTCTCTATATAGCCCTGGCTGTCCTGGAACTCAATATGTAGACCAGGCTGGCCTAATGGCATTTTTTTTCTTTTCTGTATCTATTTGTGTGTGCATGTGTGTGTGTGTGAGAGAGAGAGAGAGAGAGAGAAAGAGAGAGAGAGAGAGAGAGAGCGCTCACGTGTATGGCTCTCTTGTGGAGGTCAGAGGACAACTTTCAGATTCTATTGTGACCCTCCAATACATGGTATTGAACTCAGATCAGCAGTCTTGGCAGTAAGCACCTTTAGCCGCAGAGCTATCTAGCCAGCCCAAAATGTTACTTTTTCAAAACTTGTGGGAGAAGCTGAGATATCTGAGACAGAAGGATGCTTTGGAAGGGAAAGAACCATGTAGAGGAGGGGAGAAGGAGAAAGGACATGGACTAAAAAGCAAAGCGATTACCAGAGCAAAATGGAGCCCAGAATGAAAATGGCTGTCTGGGCTCAGGCAATGTGCAAATAAGTAGTACCTCCAAGGTCCCTGCTTCAGAGTTCACGGCTGAGAGAAGCCACTAACCACGTAGAGTAAAACAAAAGGGAGGCTTCATAGAACAGCTCAGCGCCCTCACAGTCGCTGGCTATCCCCATTCTGTGATGCTTCTGCAGCTTGCAGGCTAAGCGACCTTAAGCCAACTGATGGCCACCATCTCTCTTCATTTTGTTCCTTCAAAAAACAAGAATAGTGAAATCGGTGCTCATGTTTTAGGACTTTTCAGAGACCTAAGTATATTAATACAAGGAAAGCACCAGAACAATGCCCTATGGTCAGCAGGCACTCAATAAACACTGTTACAGGAGATGAAGGCAAAAGCCGTCAGATACAGAAGAGGAGGCTGTGTGCACAACTCCAGGAGGTGTGATCACATGTGGATATAGCTTCCCTGGACAACACAGGGTGAGAATTCTGAGGACAAGTGTGGCTGCTTTAGTACTGTTCATAATAGCAAAATAATAGACATTCGAATGCATTTATTTATTAGCATTAAAAAATGCACTAGCAGAGCAACATACCATTACAGTTTTTACGAGAAGCAACCTGTGTAAATGCCCATCAAAATAGATATATATATCTAATAAGACAGGAAGATGCAAAATGGCATACGTAACATGGTGCCATCTAAGGAAAAAAGATACACACAGGAAGGTGTCATATATTTTGCGAATATAAATAGTTTTAATACTGAAAGAATGTACATTTATTTAGAGCTATTTGTGAATAGATAAATGTCATGATGTCATAGTGTTTTCCATGGTGCAACAATTACTTCATAGAATGTACTTGAATATTAGAAAGCTCATTTTGTCTTAAGGCACAGATCAACCCTAGAAGCAAGTTTGTCAACACTGGCTAACTGTTTATTGCAGGAATATGAGTGATCATTATTTTTTCATTTGGACTTTTCTGAATATTCAGGTTAAAAATAATTAGACTTCCAAGGGTAAGTACTATGACAAATGCATAAAGGGGTGGGCCTGGAGCACACATTTGGGCGAAGCTAGACTTTCACACCCTCAACCTTCAGTCACAGCAGAAGACAGAGAATGTTCCTCCACGCCCTCTAACTCCTCCTTGGGGTGAAGACTGGCCAGGGGTTCTGCTGTTTTGAGTGTTGATGATTGATTCCTATACGTCGTAGCATCTTTCAATCCTTGGTATCTCTAAAACATGGTGTTCTTTTTGGGAAAACACCAAGTGACGGTAGAGCCCCTGAGAGGGGAGACTGTGCTAGTCCCAGAGGCAGGGCACACACAGTGCCGAAAGTCAGGTGAGCTGTTGAGTATTGTGTACTGACGATGCATGCGTGTGCACATGATGATGAGGGAAATGAAAAGCACCCAGGCTGAGCTGAGATGCCCATGGCACTCAGCCTCCACTGAGAATACTTTTATAGGTGTTGTCCCCTCTGAGGGTCAAGGATGTGAACAAAATTCCAGCTCTGGGGTCGCTCAAAGCTAGACGTAAAATGCCAGTGACTAAGCTTCAGGCATGTTATGAAATGAATTTCTGTTCCTTTGTCTGAAATGGGAATCAAAGTGGCTTTGAGGGGACAGAATGGGATGACAAAGCAAAGCATCCAGAGGTGGACAGAGGACGTCCTCAGCTAACAGTGACTGTGTGCAGATCGGGAAGGTGTGTCCTTGGATCAAAATGGAGCATGTCTGGGGAGATTTTTACCTTACCCTTGGGTTGCTCTTTACTATGCTAAAAGTTCAAACAGCTGTGTGGAGTTCAGCCCCATGAGAGGGCTACTGACGCTCTCTAAGAGGTTTAGGTCTAGAGATGGTTGTTTAAAGAACATTACACTTCCCCTTAAAGAGCCAGTTGGGGGTTATTTTTTCTTAATTTTTTAAGCGTACAAAATAACTTGTTTCACATTTTCATGTACATACTTCTTTGGACTTTGCTCATATTTGCCTCCATAACTGCCCCCACCCCATGCTGCTATGTATAGGGAGAAAAGTCCCCTTTCTGCTTTCGTGTGTGTGTGCTAAAAT